TTTAACAAAGTTATTGCAGTAAAACTGTTAAAAAGTATGTCTTATAAATTAGAATTACTCACACATTTCGCCTAATATCTCGGCTGAAAATGGATATCAAATCATGAATTTGTGGTCGCAAACAAATAACACTTCAAGAAACAGTATATAAAAGCTGCTACGTTATTTACACAAGTCACTGAAAAGTTTAGCGTACTTTCACGGAGTTTATCCGGTTCATCGCCGGACGTCTCCGCAATACACAGTGACACTGCGCCAAAGCCGCTGGAATTTAGCCATAATTTAGAGATTTCGCTAGCAACAAATTTCACACCAGATTGGAGTTGAAGACTATGTTTATATAGTTGTGGAAACTTTCGAACTAATATTAATGTAGAGCCATTTCTGATTAATTACTTTTGTCCTTTTTTTTTGGTATTGATTATGGAGTGTAAAGGCATTCAAGATTTGACGGCACTGCTGGAATGAAAAATCTTTAGGAAGAACGCAAAGTGAATATTGATGCCTTCTTTCTGGAGGGTTGCTCGATTACAAAATGCGTCTATTTTTCGGTACAGAGCACGGCACCAGGAGAAAGGTATGGTAGAATGGGATAGGAAGAAGAAGTGCATTTAACCAGTAGATCTTTACAAAGTCAGAGAAAAGAAAACACACAAATTTAGAGCTATTCCAAGTAAGTGTAACAGGGTTCAGAGCTCTGAATACAGAAGTGAAGGTAGGTTAACGGTAAGAAAAACAGGTTGGGTGCTGGTCATGCTCAATTGCAGTTGTACGCCTGAAAGCGGTAACATTGTATCTGTCGGTTTTTTTTTTTCGGAATAACGCAGTTTGTCATTATATATTACCGCTGGTAACGTGAGCACCTGGAGTGGGTATCTGACAGATGATATCGTCCAACTTCACATCAACAAATTTGCCACTGGGTTTAGTTTTGAGAATGGACTGTCTAGCTTCCATCGACTTCGGCAAAGTTCCTGGCGTGTGATCTCGAGGAGGGGTCTATGTTGTTCACCCGAATTTGAATTTCCTATGGAATAGGAAGATGATACGAATCACACTGATGATGGATACCGAATGATTAGAAAGCATCTGTTGTCTGCAGGTCCTGCTTTTCAAAAAAGCAGTTGCTTGTTGTTTTCGTTTCAGCTGATTTACAAAGTCTTATTTGTCGCAGTACTCTGTGTACTTAGTTATTTTGCATTTGTTTTTTTGCAATTTTTCTTCAATCTATGTAAAAGAATGATGTTGCTATTACTGCAGCTATCTGTGTACTGTTTTTTCTGGTTAGTGTAAAGACGTGTTTAGTGAAGTAGTAATGTGTGTCCGTAAGCATCAACACCACTGGTAAAGGAGCGTAGGAACATTGAGTTGAACGTATTGATTCCACTAATTCTTTTAGAAATTAAAAGTAGTAATTAAATGGAGGACTAGGTAATACTTTAGACTAGCAAGCGTTACAAGCTTTCACTTTGCAGAAATATAAGCAGAAGAAAAATTGATTGACCAGAAACTGTTCACCAAAAGTGGTGGTATCCAAAGATTTACAGTGAAAATTGAAGATGCTTCAAGAAGCTTAAATACATCTTTCCGTTTTTTTTTTTTAACCGGTATTTCCATACATGATTTATATTTGGACGGGACGTTCGCCCATGTTTGCTCCAGCAAGTTTTCATTTTATGCTCTAGAAAATTTTTTCACGGTTGTTCATTAGTTTATTATCGGGTTAAAGGAAGAAGTTGAAGAACGAGGAGCTAGTGGGACTTGAAGTCTTTAACGAAATCAGCAGGATTTTCAATTCTATTGATCAATTATTGGGTCTCAATGATGGTAAAAAAATAGCAGTGTAAGTTGTTGAAATTATTTTCATTATTACTTTTTAATTCTCGTCTTTGTTTCGTATTTCTATTTCACTGCTACTGTTACTTAGTTTTTGGAATTGTAGTGGAAGCTTTATTCCTTACTCACTTTCGTTGATTCAGTTTTTTGATTGCACCATTTTTCTCACTTATTTTTAGATAAGTCAAAAATTCCCCCCCCCCTTTCTTTTTCCTGTTTTTGAGGCGTAAATGACTTGAGAAGTACTTTTTGGAGTTGCTTTGATAAGATTTGTGCGACTCACTTTTGTTGTCAGCGATGGGCTAAACCTAGTAAAGCTTTACTTTGTCGTTATTGTATTAAAAACTTCGTGTTTTTTCAAGACTGAACGAAAAAGATGAGATGAGTAGTAAAGGTGGCGGCTTGAATCATAATGAGCCGAATACAGTGACAGTATCTGTTTTGGGATTAAGTGGAAACGAGTTTATGAAGGGTTCTGTTGGCGTTGGTAAATCATTGCTCTGTAACCGCTTCGTCCGAGGCCAATTTGATGAGTTTTATCCAGAACATTCGTCTGTATTGTCACAGGTTGTCATTTCCTGCATCAGATTATTAAAAGCACTCATTTACCTGCCTTTCAATTTTTAATCCTCTTTCTTTTAGTTGGAAATTAAAATTTTTTTAAAGGGCATTTTATTCGTTACTTTCAAATTTTTAGTAGTGTGGATTTCTAAACGATTTTTTTGCAGTCAGATTTTTGTGGCTCACCAGTTATTAACAATGATCATTGGCTTTATTGGGGTGAAGCGCTAGTTAACAATGAAGATCTTCACAGTTGTGTGGAAGTCAGGTAAAGAGTTTGAAGAGTTTAGAAATGAATAAGTTTGGGCTGTTCATTGCTAAGATATTTTGTACTGAAATGGATGGAGGATTTAGTGGAATTAATGAAGTTTACATAAATTTAAACGCAGTTTTAATGACTATTTTCTATTTATCTTATTTTACAGAGTTATTGAACAAACTGAGTTCATCGATGATGAAAATTTTGAGCCTTTTGATGGGCTTGAGTTGTATAGTCAACGAGCAACAAAACTAAGACTGGAAAGTGCTGATAAGAGGATGTATATATGTAGAGTAAGTTTTGAAGTCTCAGAACAAACATCTCATGTATCTTTATTTTATGGGTTTCTATTTCTAGAACCAGCTGGGTTTAGAAGCCGAATACAAAGAGAAGACTTTGTCAGACGGTCGTATTACAGTAGATGGCTTCATCTTTGTTTATGACATTTCCTACGTTGATAACCGTCCATTTGAGAAGCAGTCAGATTTTGCCTTGGAGGTTTTAATGGCTGCTGCAAAAACAAAACGCCCCATTGTAATTGCTGCATCCAAAACAGACGTCGCTGATGACAACGGTCGTAAAGCTTTACAAAAACTCATTACAAGAAAAGAATTGCGCTCCGTAATTTTACAAGTGGTACTTTTTTCCTTTTTTATTAGTAATTGCGAAAAACGTGATTGTAATAAACTGTCTTACTCAAAAAATAATACTGTTAATCTTATTTGTTTACTTTTAACATGAATTTAGGTAGAGGTATCTTCTATATCGAATGTTAACGTCATGAGTATCTTCGCACTGATTACAGCAGCGATTGAAAAATGGAGATCTAAGCCGAGGATATTATCGTTTGTTGAAGCAGCCAAGGCACAGAAAATAAAGGAACAAGAGATTTGGTTAGCGGTTTATTATCAAATTGTTGATGAATAATAAATTCATTGATTCATTTCTATTCTAAAAAATATCTTGCAAAACGTAAGAATGTGTTAGGAGTAGTAGTTTGAGGCATCATTAAAATTCTATATTTGTTTGCCTCTTCACTTCTAATAGACTTTTAGAAGTTACTACATTTTTTTAGTGATTCATATGTTTCTTTACTGAAGAAGTTAATGCCTATTGATTGTTGGCCTACATCGCGACCGACTTGGAAGAAACTTTTAAGTCGCTTTGGATTAGGGATGCATGTAGAGTACGAGAATTTTGTCTACGTTTTTGGCATTAAAAAGGCGAAAGAGTATTATCAAATACATGTGGAAGAAGCAAAACATTTTTGGATTCAGCGGAGGTCTACATTTCACGGCATTATTCCTATTAGCTTATATTTTGCAGAAGTTGTTAGCCTTTTCATGTTTACAATAGAATTTGGAAAAGAGTTTGCTTTATAAACTGGCTTATCTTTTGTTTCAGGCTGCAGTCCCAAGTTCTGAGACTGCATAAAGTACTCACTAAGTTTATTGGTGCAGAAGAATTGCTATCGCTGAAATGGGCAGAAGTTAAGAAAATAATTTTTGAACATCCACGTTTTGATGAGTTCTTTTTACCTATAGGCACTATGGAAGCTGATTTGGACCCTAAGTCGTCGAAGGTAGTACATTTGCTTCACAAAACGTATGATTTTTGTAAGTTTTATTTCTCTTCCTCACCTTTTTCAAAAGTAACGTTTTTAAGGTGTTTTTAAATCCAGACGAGTCTCGGATTCCTGCTGAGGTGCTCCTTTCTGTTGAAGCTGCTGCTATTTTCGATGAGTTAAAGGTAGTATTTTGTTCCTTATTTCTTTATTTTTTTTGCTTGTATGATGTGGATGATACATTTCTAGCATATAGAGGAGAAGAAGTGCCATCAGGCTTATTTGGAGAGACAGTTTGAATGTATACTTACCGACTGTCCTCAAGTGACCCCAGGAAAACGTTTAGAAGAAGTCGAAATTTTCTTGAGAGATAAATCTGGTTATGAAGACGTGCCTTCTCAAATTGCTCGATTAACTTATTCTAAATTTCAGGTGCTGTTTAGCGATTGGTTTCTAAGGTCTAGGTTTGGTAGATTTATTTTTATTTTATATTGACTTAACATCT